TTCCCTACATAATTTTTTTCATATTTTTTTAAATTATTTGTCAATTTTATTTTTTAAATATTGAGCTGGATGAAAATTATACTTATGGATTTTCTCACAAAACACTGTGAATTGTTACAATATTTCTCTATATAGTTTTTTTAATAATTTTTTTCAAAATTATATTTATTGATTTTATTTTTTAATATTGAGCTGATTGATAATTTAACTTTTTAATTTTTTTTAAACATTGTCGATTGCTATAATATTTTCTAACAAGTTTTTATTTTTATTTTTTTATGTTTTGTTTTTTGTGCAATGTTTTTCAAATTATCTTTGTTGATTTATTTTATTAATATGGAACTGATTAGAATTTAGTTTTGTAATTTTTTTTCTTTAAAACACTACAGATTGCTATAGTCTTTCCCCACATAATTTTTTTGTTATGATTTTTTTTAAAATTATTTTTGTTGATTTTATATTTTTTTAATATTAAGTTGGTTAAGAATTATAGTTATAATAAAGCTAAATCATATAAAAAAAGCATTGTAGTTTTTCTAGCAAAACATTATGGATTACTACAGTGTCTCCTCCATGGTTTTCTCTATTATGATTTTTTTTTAAATTATCTTTGTTAATTTTTTTAATATTAATCTGGATGAGAGTTACAATTACTTGTAAGACTAAATTATATGGGGAAGTAATATAGCCTTCCTCACAAAACACTGTGGGTTGCTATAGTGTTTCCAACATGTTATTTTTTGTTATAATTTTTTTAAAATTATTTTTGTTATTTTTTTTTTTAATATTGAACTGGTTGAGAATTTAACTTTATAATTTTTTTACTTTACAACACTGTATATTGCTACATTGTTTCCTCACTTAGTTTTTTTTTTTATTATGATTTTTTAAAATTATCTTTGTACAATAAAGTTAAATCATATAGGGAAAATACTGTAGCTTTTCTTATAAAACACCGTGGATTGTGATAGTTTTTCCCCACATAGTTTTTTTTTCATACTGGGCGGATTAAAAATTTAACTTTATAGTTTTTTTCTTTAAAACATTGTTAATTGATTTTTTTTGTTATGATTTCTTTTAAAATTATCTTTGTCGATTTTACTAGGAAAAACACTATAGCTTTGCTCATAAAACGCTGTGGATTGCTACAGTGTTTCTCTTCATAGTTTTTTTTTTTAAAATTATCTCTATTAATTATTTTTAATATTAAACCGGTAAAGAATTTAACTTTGTAATTTTTTTATTAACAAAAAAGCTAAATCATGTAGCAAAAGGCTAAATAATATGAGGAAAGCACTGTATCTTTTCTCACACTATAAATTGCTACAAATCATTCTATTAAATCTCTAAATTCTTGATTACTAACATAATTTTTTTTCGTTATGAAATATTGGCTCCATAATACTTTTAGTTTCTATTACTTATCTAGCGTTGGTTTGTAATTATAACACCATCAAATATATTTGTTTCCCAATTGGCGACAGCATGATAGCGTGCATCTCAGATAAACTAAAAGATAAAGAAGTTTCCAATATATTATTATTTATCCAGACTCATTGTCACTATTGATTTTAATAGTATTTTTTTTATTTTTTTTTTATACATTTGAGCCCTTTAAGTTAAAATTATAACCCAATGGTATATTTCTTTGGGTGCGGGAGTTGAATTCAAATAAAAAGATTGACATGGAAATAACATGTAAAATAGATAGAGGGATTGAAATTTGTTTGTAAGTTCATTTTAGTCCCTCATTATTTTAGCTATTAGACGACTAGTTCCTTTAATTTTTTAAAAATTAATTTTGATATCAAAATTTATTTATTTTTTTAAATCTATTTTTGATGGAGAAGAGAGAGAGGTCGCTAGATTCTGGTGTAAAGAAAAAGTTGTTGTTGACGATGATTTCAATCACCACCATGATCGATTTTTATGTTAAATTATTTAATACAATGAGGGGTGTTGGGATTATGTTTTTTTTACCCTCATCTAAAAAAATAAATTTGAGCTCAAGGATACCTTTAATTTATTTTTTATTTTTATTTTAACCCTTATTCTTTTAATTTTAATTTTTTGTTTTAGATTTTTTTTGTGTAATTTTTTTTATCGATTTCATCCTTCAACGTTTTGTTTTCCAGGAATTGAGCTTTATGATTTTTTCATGTATAGTGCTTTTCAGTCTGATGACCTAATTCACGAGTTTAAAAAGTAATAGGAGTTGCAATCTTTTTTTTTCTTTTTTTTTTTGACCTTTTCATTTGACATTTTTTTAATTAAAAAATAACTTTGTGATTTTCTTTTAATTTTATTTTCTATCAAATTATCTTGACTTCATAATTTAAGAAGCAAGTTTGTCAGGCTAATTTGAACTAACTCACCCCTTAATATTCAGATTACATGTCTACCATGATAGCTTAGGTTGGGTCACACTATTTTTTATTTTATTTTTTTAATTATATTTGATCTTTCCATATTTAATTCACTAAAAATTAAACATTATTTTTTTGTTGTTGAATAAATGTTTTTTTTTAATTTCATGTTATTATGATTTTTTTTCATATGATTTAAATAAAGTCAGCTTATTTATTTGATCAAGATTATATCTCGAATTATTAATATTTTTTATAATTTTTTAAATACACTTATGTTGTCTAAATATTTTATTAAAAAAATAATACGGACCAGCCTAGTATGTACTAGAAGGGGAAGAAGATAACCTGTGTAGCCACCGCATTATCAATTTCTACACATTGCAAAACCTGGAAAAGAAATACCACAAAGACATTCTTACAAGGAATCAGAAAACTCAGGCTAGTGCTGATTAATCACTATATTATATCATTTCCCTCATGTTATTTTTTTATAGGAAGTGATTTTCACTTTCCAGTCCAGTGTTAGTTGCCACTTGATAATTAATTAAGATATTCCGTTGGGGGTACCATTGCGCACTAATTTCTTTCTTAATTATTATTATTATTTGTGATAAGCTGAAGGAAAAAAGCGGGAATACCTTTACGCCCTCTTGGGTATTAGCTTTCCTTTCCTTTGTTTTAAAAGCTGATAGCCTACAGAGACATGGCACGCAGAGCATGAGAATCTGGTTCGAAGCAATAGCAGCAAATTAACAAGAAAAAACTCGTCTCCCTGCTCATTTCATTTCCATCATGAAAATAAAACTTCCAAGAAGTGAGGTTGAGTATAGCTTTCTTTAGCTGTTATGATTTCACCATGTCAACAGATAATTTCTAGGAATCTGATATACTGGCTGCCATTGTCCTGGAAAGAAAACCTGACAGTAATTAAGCACGGATTATATGCTTGCATAACTGGCTTGATCACGAAAATATATATATATAGACAGTAAGTTCTGTTGAATTTTCAAGTCATGATCATGATACTTTGTCTTATTTACTTGATCATGCAAGCAAGCACAGCAAGTTCTGCTGAATTTTACTTGACTACATATGTATTATGTGGGCTATATTCATGTGTAAATATAGCTATAGAACCCTGCAGTCATCATTATTAATATATTCGTCCAAGATTTTATAAACTGGAGAATTTTAGGTTAAATTGAGGAAGCTTCCAGTCATCATTCATTCAACTTAAAAGAGAAACCATTCCTTAAGGACTACAGACTACTGTTTCTTGATATATGGTGCAGAGATGGTTTATAGGAAAATAAAATGAGCGTATTACAAAAAAAAAAGAAGAAAAAAAAACAAAGAAATATAAAAGAAAAGAACAACCAAATTAGTGATTTGTAAATGTTCACATTCGAATACTATCTACACTACGAATAAGAACATTACTAGTAAAACTAAAATTAAATTCACTATATTTTAGCCAAATCAATAGTTTATACAAGATAACAAAGAAACTGAAATCCCAATCTGATTAAATCTTATTAAAAAATCAAATCATTTCTTATGAGCTAAATACTTTATGATATGTCAAAGGAAAGAGACTCCAAACTCGAATCTGAAATGAACCTTTCATTAAAAAAAATTACTTAAAAATAAAAAAATTTAGAGTCTAAGGGATGCACCACACTCTCCATCATTATAAGAATTTTGTCCACAATTATCGAGTACCAGAACAATAGAATTACAAATAATCCGGAATATCTAGCTCTACTGCACAAAATAGATGTATGAATTGCTTTGCTTGAATCAACCCGTGTCTGAAAAGAAAATCATCTGCACAAATTCGAATTTGAACAGCCAACTATATAAATATTTGTATTTTAGGTGTAACGTCCATTTTAAAACGTACATTGTATTTGAAATAAATGACTGCATACATAGACTGGAAAATGACGACAGCTGATGAGAATAGCTGGTTAAGCATTGGAGAACCTCAATATAACCCCTAAAGTATTACCTTATTATCAATTGGATCCCAAGCCTTTTGATTTTATCCATTTTACCTTAAACCTTGGATGTTAAACAAGGTCACCCCTTCACCTATCCCTGTTAATTAGTGGCGATTAAAAGATTTCATCCATTTTGTTGCTTTTCATTAAGTACTTCCATCAAAGGTGCTAAATTATGTCCTCAAGAACAATTCTAGCATCCATTCTTAATAAATTTTGTTCTGCTTGTATAATAGGAGAAATGGATGAAAGCGCTTGAAGTACTGCACATACAAATTATTGTTACTAACATCAAATGGAATAGAGGAGTTATATTACTTGATCATGTCGATTACATTTGGGATGAAATTGATATGATGAAGTAGTTTGGAACTCAAGTAATAATAATATAATATATTAGGGATAATATTGTGACTTCTCCTTAAAGTTTCATCTAAAAAGTCAAATTTGACGACTTTTTTGAGCACCCTTGGAAATGGAATGTTAGAAGGAGCAAAACGCGAGGACGGTTCCTGACATCGCAGATATATATGGTTCTCGCTATATCAGAAAAATATAAGCTGGGATTTTAGCCTTGATGGTAAATGGTGGATTCGTGAAAGCTACTTTGAGGATCAAAGCATTTTACAAGACATGGTTCCAGCTAGCCATTAACAACCAAAAGTAGATATCATGATCTTGAGCCATGGCAACATGCTTTTTACTTGCTCTCTCACTAAGAGCATGGTGGTCTTTGCTGCAATCTCTTCAATACAAATTGTATAGAATTAAGCTTGTTTTCGAGGCATAGCTAAGTACTCTTTACACAAAGCTTGTGTCAAATGCATCTGGGATTTTTTTTTTTTTAATGGAACAGTTTTGAATGTTTGTTTTGTACTGACCTTTCTTATGCTTTTTAGCCGTTTTCTAGCTAGGTTAGCGTAAGTTGCTTTTTTGATGTCGAAATTTCTCATTTACTAAAAACAAGGTTGGGAAATGTTTTTGCAAGTCTTGACAGCCCCTCAATACATACTGCTCATGCTCTCTACCTCACATACATATCACACAGGTGGTTGCACCGAAATGCTTGATTTAGACACCTTGCAAAGAAATAAAAGCAGAACATCTTTATCAAGGACAGCATAGATGCGTGGATGAACTTAGTAATTTGCAAAAAGAGAGTTATCCTATCAGGATAACTAGTAGCATTAAGAGGTTCTGAGTGATTGCTCTTATCATTTTCTGCTGCTTGGAACAAAGAAAAGGAAAATAAAATAAAACACTAGTAGAGTATCAGCCGCATGACATTGATCCATGTCCTCTGCCAGGGAGAAATAACTTACTCTAAATCCAAATAGCACCTGCTTGTATAAGCAATGGGACTAGCTGGTTCTTGATGTGGAGGCTCATCACCTGCTTTTCATTACCAACCAGCTTTTGGCCTATGAACACAACAGGTACGCTCTGTCGAAATCCCAGCTGCACGAGTGCCCTTTCAATTTGATGTCCATTTGGAAGTTGGTCTAGCTGATAAATCGTTGGATTAGCTCCAAAACCACGTATTAATGATTCGATGGAGTGGCTCATGCAGCAAGAACTCTTGCTAAAAATCACCACTGGCTTTTCTTGAATCATTGCATTCACCGCATCCATTGTCACAAAGGGTTCAAAGAGCTAGTTTGAAGTGGGCGTGAGACGTGAGTGTATTAATGAAGATTGTTGAGTCTGAAAGGCTTTGCTATACGGAGTTTGAATACCTTTGGAGGTTATTTATAATGAAGATTTAGAGTTTTTGGTTCCTGCAGGATAGAATATAGTGGCTGACGGAAAACTGTTAAGAATCTGTGTTATTAGATTCCCTGCATCGACTGCATTTTTGTAATATGCAGACGAGAAAAATGTGCTTTTCTGTGCTAATGACGAGGACTTGCACGACGCATTTCTTGATCCATCCTGTCTAATATGCTGTACAAACATCAATTGCCTTCATTAACTATGCTAATCGAACTTCTCAGTACTTTTTCAAGATATAAAATTTTTGGGCATAACAGCGAAAACTTGTGTATCAAATTGATCATATTGTTATTGTTGGAGTGTAAAAATGCCCTTTGTAGAAAAGGAAGAGGTGGTAAGAACAAGAATAGAAATTTAAACTCAAGTTATAATTATATATCAATACTTATTTAATAATAAAAGATAGATATAATAAAAATAGAGAATTAAGAAAATAAAAGAGATTTTTTTTTAAGTGAAGATATTTTAATTAGTTTTGGTAAGACTAGAATATGTAATTTTCTCTCTTCTTATGTATATCTTTCTGATCATATATATTAAATATTGCTAATTAGTTATAACTTAAGTACTATAAATATTTTTTTAATAAAATATAAGTAAATGGTCATGGTATCTAAGCAATTAAATACTATTTTTGTATAAGTAAAAATATTTTTATTATTTTTTATGAGATCATTTGCGATTTTATCTCCTTTTCTTGTATTTATTTATCTTATATTAAGTAAGTATTACAATTTATAACTTGAATACTTAAAATTTTCCAAACAAGAACAAGATATAAGTGAATGATCATGATGCTTAATTGGTTAAGTATTATTGTAATAAAATTATTAAATTCAAACTAAATAATATAATTAAATTGAAAAGTCAATAATTGCTCATCTAATCGATCTGGGTTAATAACAAAAATAAGATATATAAATTAAGGATTTGGTTAAACCTAATAAAACCTGGTTAAACCATGAAGGTCAAATTCAATTGATTCAACTATTAAGGTCAAGTATTATCTCGTGTTTAAGCAAAATAGAAGGAAGAAAAAAAATATGGTAGCTTTGGGTTAGACTTGATATATACCTTCCATCTCTTAAAATTTTAACTTTACCACTTGAACATTTTTCGTTTTATGTCAAACACACACACACACACACACACACAATCACCTTGCGTTCGACCAGTGGTTCACAGATTGAACTGATAGTCTAATAACATGATTTTTTTTATGTGAATTGGCCAACACTAAAAAGGGGAAGGACGAAATGGACACTCACAAGAAAGCAGACCCAACAAAAGTTCAAACCCTCTTTAACCTAGTGGTAAGCTTTTATTTTCAATAACGTAAAAGCTGGAAGGGAAAAACTTCAAGCCTTTGGATTGTCATCATAATGTGGATTCCAGTGATGGCTCTTATTAATCTAGTTGCTGCTGCTCATGCGTGTATTTTAGAAGTTTTTCTTGAATACTTAACATTATTCTTTCAAGAATTGTGATAGTATTTTTGTTTTTTCTTGGAGATCAGGAAGAAATCCAAAATAAGTTTCTAGTTTCACATGTTTCGAAATCCCAGAGTTCTGTTCCGTCAATTTTGAGAATATACTGAGGTGTATAAAGAACTGGGCTTATCTCTTGGATATACAGGACACTTTCCTCCATAGCAACAGTATATATCGCAAGAGAAAGAAATGATACTTTCGTGAAGACTATCCGCTCTTAAAAGCACGGTCACGTGACAAAAACAACGTAAGAATTCCTATCTTCCAGAAGGAGAATTAAGAAGATACCCAGTGGAGCAACCGCATTATCAATTTCTACGCACTGAAGAAACCACACACACAAAAAAATTATCCAGACTACCGAGTCAAATGGACCCTCTAATGTTTTTTTTAGCTATATCTTGATTACAAGAATCGCTATGGTCCTTGCTCCATTAGTAGCACTTGTCACAGAGACATGTTAAAGCAACTTTTACTTCCAAGTCGTATCCCAGATGTCACTGTTGTTTTAAACGCCGCATATATACTTAGATTTCCTTTCTACTGTTTCTTCATCTGCTTTGAATTCACAATACAGGTAGATAAATTCCAGGAATTAGGTATACTGATTATGTATGGCTCATCACATCATTATGTGTGATGCCAGTTTAATGGTGCTTATGCTACCTGGGACAGGATTGCACAGAGGATGCGTTTAATGCCAACTTTGGTGATCAGTCATCTAGGATCTTCTGGAGGTGGAATATGAGAAAAAGAAAAAAACGCACTTTGAGGTTGATTCCAGAGATTGATCGCGTGTACCGTATAGTGGCATAATATGTTTTGTTTGTTGGGTTTTTTCGAAATTCGTAGATGCCGTGAAAACAATAATTTAAATATTGTTGAGAGTTTTAAATACTTGTTTAGTCAATTTAATATTATTTATGGTTTGAGTTAAAATTATTTAAAGATTAAATTTTATTTAGAGATTTAACTAATCTTTTCAAGATTAAATTATTGTAAACTATAAGCTATTTAAGTATTTATTTATTAAAATTATCACAACTTGAATTCTAGACCCGATCAGGAAAAATATTTTATCTATACCAAGCTTTAAACATACTTCTCACAAAAAAAATTATATAAAATCTTTCAACGTTTCGTAAACTTTCAAAAGTACTTTTCTAAACTAATTATATCAAATAATAATTCATAATACTTATCACAATCTAAAAACCTAATCTTGAAATAAAACAATGTAATAGAAGTGCACTCTAAGATATTAAATCAAGATAAAATGAAAAGTTTTGTGGAAACAAATAAGGCATACTAACTAAAAATAATACAGCAAGAACTCTTAACAAAGTGAACCTGTTAACATAAGTTAAGAATCTAGAAATAATATTAAAAAAAAGATGAATTCTACCAATTAAGTGATGAAATAACATTTAATATATACACCATAGATATACTAGAAAAATAAAACTAATACATATATATAGATATATACATATCAAGCATATTAATATATGGTAATGAAATACACATGTTAAATAATAGATAACATATGAAACCTTAAGGTTCCGATAAAAATGAGGTTTGCTACCCTAAAGACCTTGAGAGGATTAGTCGCTACAGGTTGATACCTTTCTTACCAGCTAGGTATACAAACTACTATATGCATATAGACTAACTACTCTCCATTAATATAGAGCTTTTCACAAGTATTTCGATATTAAGACATAATAAATATTCATATAATTATCAAAGAAAATAAATGTCATGTTAGATAGAATTTAATTTAATAGAATACGAGTATAAATTTAAGAATAGATGAATAATTGAAAAATAAAGTAACATACATAATTATTCAAGAAATAACTAGTTAGTTATATATATATATATATATTAAAGATTATTCCACTTGCTTGGATTTAATAAAGACAAACAAACATAAAACTAGTAACTACTAAGGATCATTAGAAAACACATCAGCAAAACCTATAATAAATATAGAAAATACTTATAAAATACTTGAAATAATAACATAAAAGATTACAACTCTAAGATTAGAGACTAAAATATAATTATAAAAACAAAACAAATCCACTTGATCGATCACAAACATTACTTAAACTAACTGAATTTAAAAGAATCGATCAACTCTTACTATTCTATCAACTAGTCGACCAAAATTGACCAATTAGTTGACTAGCTGATTAAGATTTTAAAATCTTGATCTATCAGTCTTCTAAAATCACAAATCTTTAAAATAATTCAACTTCCTAAAAAACCTATAACTGTAGTTCTCATGCCAAATGATATAAGCTAAATTAACACCCTAAAACATTAATTAAACATCTTAAATCATCCAAATTTTAAAATCAAACTTAACCAACATGATCAATCATAAAAAATCAAGATCTTACCTAGTAAACCGTTATCTCCAACTTTCACTTTTCTTTTCCTCTTCTTCTTCCCCTTTCTTCATTATTTTTTCTTTTTCCTCTCTTTTCTCTAAGGGTTTGCTCTAGAAAACTGACCCTCTCTAATTTTTTATTGACTTGCTATTTATATTTATAAAAAAATATGAAAAGATTCAAAATGTCCCATAATTATTTATACCCTTAACTAATTATCAAAGGGTATAAATTCCTTTTCCAATCCAATGTTTTTAGCATATTACAAAAATGTTTTTAGGATAGAGGGATCACTATACTTTTCAACCGTTTTAGGATAGAGAGATCACTATGCTTTTGATTGCTAGTTTTTTTTTCTAGGTGTTTCTATATCCTTTGTGTTATATAGCTTTTACAAAAAAAAAAAAACATTTTATGTATATTACTTAGCTCCCTGAAAAATATCACATAAATTTATTCATTCAAGTTTCTAATTGAGTTTTCTAGGTCTAGAATTATAATACTTTTATTAATTATATTTTAGTTCTCAATCTCTAAAAACTTATTTACAATCAAGTCACACTTGATTAATCATCTCATTTTAATTTCTAACAAATGATTTTTAATGTGTGTAACCTATTAGGTTCCTAATAAGTAGGCCAAAATAAAATCATAATCTTAAATAAAATATGATTAAATAATATAATAATTTAATTTATTATCAATTCAATAATTGATTGATTTATATTTGAAGTTAAAGTGCATCATCTAACAATATATCATGATCCTTAAATATTAGAAAAGTCATACGTGGTTTGACTTAACCTTTTAGTGACTAATTTATCAGTGTGAATATTATTCATTCATCAAGAATATTTTGATTTAGAGATTATATCATGAAATGTGTTTACCCTGTCAAGTTAGGTTTGTTCTCCATACCATAGTCATTGATTATTTGAATAAAATTTGAAATTCTTTTCAAATCTCATTCCACATTACTCAAGGATTATACAATCAATACTATTGAAGAACAAATAATTTTCTCTAATTTACATATGGTGATGAATTATCTCTTGATCACTTAAATATATTCATAGAGTTCATGTTATATGTCATCACTTATTTCAACCCTTGTGTTCAACATATTTAAAAAATAGAAATAATACAAAAAAAATACTAAAATTCTCAAAAAAAAATGTTTTCAATGCTATTTGGCCAATTTATAGTCATTTCATAATTTTTGACCATTTTATATATTATTTTTGTATTGATAATTTTTTAAAATAAAAAACTCAATACAAAAAAGAAAAAAGAAATAAATAAAATAAAAAGATTTTTCTTAGTGAGTAAAATGTAATTGAAAAAGTAATAAAGACTAGTTTAGTTTATAAATATAAGTGTAAAGTGAAAGAGAGCGAGAGGAGGGTCAAAGTTCTCTTATGAAAATGAATTTTGAAAAGATGGAAGGTAAAAGAACTCTTTAGAAGATTTAGGAATGTGAAATAACACTCTACAAAAATGAGCAAAAATAAAATAAAATATAAAAAGGTTGAGAAGATTCATCGTAATGTAAATAGACATACACACTTACACCCTTTATATAATATAACATTCCAAAAAAAATAGACCTCATATAAAAAACATTTTCTCTCATCCTTTCCTACACATATTAACACCAGACACATGCACACGCACACACACACTAAAACACTCATAAAAATATTCAAAACACCAAGCAAAAAAAATAAAATAAAATAATGGTATTTTTAACCCTCTCTACTTAAAAATACCAAACAAAAAAAGCAGGCCACCAACCACTAGTGGTGGAAGAGAGACAGTAACACCACATCGTGCTCCCATCTCCAACTTTGTTCCCAATACCAGCTACGAACTACAACTATAACACAACCACTGCCATCATGACCTCCAAACACTAACTACATCAACATCTTCTCTCTACTCACTAACAACCATATCTTATTCATTTCAAACCAAACCAAATCACTCTGCCTCTATTGTGTTTTTCTTTCCTCTGTTATGGGCATAACATCATTCACTCTCCTCGTTAATGATAATCATTGATTCCTCAACCATTGTTAGAAACTCCTTTCATAATTAACAATATCACCAATATTATGACAGAATCTCCTTCTTATGATGACAACAACATCTACAACCTATAGAGAGAAGAATTAAAGAGGAAGAAAAGTTATAATAGAAATAGTAGAAAGAGATAAGGAGGAAGAGAGAGAAAACCAAATCTTGAGATGTCTCAGTCTCTTTCCTTTAAGAGCATGAAGAAGCAATGTCAGTCTATGAGTGAAGAAAAGATAGAGGAGACTTGGATCCACCAACTCACTCTCCTCTAACAATGATGGTGTATGAAGATATGCATCAATAGTGGTGGAGGTGCGTGGCTACACATGTTGTGACTGTTCTAGTAGTCATTTGGCCTTGATTTTAATAGATCCTGAACGTGCCAAACACTTTGGAAGGTTGATCCATAAAATCAATTTTTTTATATTGTTAAAATATTGTGAAATTTGGTATAAAATGCTCATTATTATGCATAATTTTTGGATTATTTGGAAATTATTGACTTGAATTGATGTGTGTTTGTGATTTGAGATAATTTTCATAAATATTGGATTGGACATGAATATTATAATAATTTATTTTGAATGATTGAAATTATTTTGTTAGGAGCTTGTTAAATTTATTGAATATTTGATTTGATCTTCTTTTTAATGTGAATGAATATGGACTTATTAATTTTGATTTTGTTTGTTGGTTGGGTGAATGAGATAAATTTTTGGAAAGTTATATGGTTACGTGATTAAAAAAAAAGAGGGTAAAGTAAGCACATTATGAATATATTGTTTAAAAAATGATGAAGAAGAAGAAATATGCACATATAAAAAAATGAAAAAATAATTAATTAGCCCAAGATGGTATCGTCTAACTTTAGGCCCTTTCTTTTGGATATCTATTAATAAAATAAAATAAAATAATAATAATAAAATTATCCTTGCATTAATTGTTCCTATTAATTGTTAATTGATCCAAGATGGAATGGTCTTATACTAGGTCTTATCTTATGGATATCGATTATCGAGTAATAGGATGAATTAATATTTGATCGATAAATTATTTTTTTCTATTAATTATTAATTGACCAAGGATGATATGGTCCAATATTGGGCCATGTTATTTGGATGTCAATAAATGAATAATAATATCAATTAATACATGATCACTAGGATATTAATTAATTCAGTCTGCATAATCATTCCATTATGTAATTTCACAAATTCAATTCAATAATCTTGTCATTTATTAATGTAATCGTTCAATATCAGACCTTGTTCTTCAGATGCTACTTAATAAATAATATAAATTTTTTCAAACCATAATAAGTCTTATACATAGGTGTGCCTATTCTAAATAATATAGAATGAAATGATATAAAATTAGACTCTGTTATTTGAACATTATTTATTCAATTGAAGATGATCATGAATATCTCAACCTTATATTAAATAATTCTATCATTTGTTAAAAGATCCAAAATGAAATGGTCTTACAATAGAACTTGTTTTTCAGATATTAATTAACAGATAATAGAGCCAATTAATATGGTCTACCAAATGCCTCGATATGGTAAGGCTCTATATTGGGCCCTCATCTTTGGACTTTGTTATGTGGGTAATGACAATATCTTGAATAACATATATACCAATTTAGGCAAACCACATTAAAACATATTTATCATTGAAAAAAATAGTTTATCTTAGATAAGATGTATAGGGTAATGTCTATCTTTCCTATTATATATATAACTAGCCTATTACCTAGAACCTTCGAAGACTAATTAGGGTTCATATTATTAAAATTAGGTGGTGACTAATTTTTTTCCCTTCCATTTTACCCTTTTTATATATAGCTCACCTCAATATCCATATGACATTATACTCAATATCTAACTATTTATTATCTTTAATTAGGACAATGTGTAGTTAAGAATATCAAAGCATAACCTTTCTTTCATTGAATTACTTATTGATTTCAAGTCTAAAGATTACTCGTATAATTTTCACGTGAATCTTTCTATAAATACAATTGATCTCACTATATAAAACCCTGAATGCTAATCAGTTTAGTGTACATATTATTTGACAAGTACCTACATATTAATTTTAGGTGTCTCTTCTATTTTAGTTTATGAAAACAATTACTTTATTTTATAAAAAAACATAATTAATATTCAATATTAATAGAGCATCGACCAAGAATATTTAGAAATAACATAATTAATATGAATTAATATGTAATACAAATTTTATAATTATAAAAACTTTATAATTTAAAATATTTTTTTCTTGAATTCTATCTTTAATCTAGAAAAAAAATTAAATATTAATAAATATTAAAAATAAATAATATCTTTATTAATATAATAAATATATTTTATGTAAATAAAGTCAATGTCATATATAATCAATAAAAGATATACACTTGTTAATTAATTCTAAAAAAATACCTCCATCGAAGTTGTGGGTAGAAAATTAAGTTCTGGAAATTTTATTTACAGATCACTGACGGTCATTTGCCTAAAAAATTAATTTAAATAGTCTACAATACCCATTTATCCTTTCACTTGAACTTCAATCTGTCAAACAAGTCCATTTTTTCATCTGTTAAACATCCTACTTCAATCCCATATAAATATGTGTGTACGGGATGGATTAAGGTTCTAGGTGACTAAATTTCATTAGGTTAAGCAACATCCGCAAAAGAGGAACTTTCCAGCAATTTTACGAAGGCTCATGTCTCTGACATCTGGTTCACATGGAGAGTAAGCGACCGCAAACACCATAACTCTATATTTCCAACATACTGTGGTAGAAATAAAGTTCTACCAGTAAATGAAGTTCTTGTCCCATTCATAGAAGTTTTTACCAGTAAATGAAGTTCAACAGCACTTGTTATCCTCGATACAAAATGTTTGTGCTTGATTTTGAGCCAGCATAGAATGAAGCAAAAGCAGTGCATCCTTATTAGATACAGCATAGATGCGTGGAAGTTCTGAAACTTTTTCGGGAAAAATTTAAAGCGTAAAGAGGTTCTGAGCAGTGCCAATTATCATTTTGTCTTAAATGGGGAAAACAGCAAACGAAAAGGAAACAGTACTAGTAGCTTATCTAAATATTCTGCGGCGTGACATGGATCCATGTCCTATTGCGTAGAGAGAAACTACTTATTCTAAATCCATATTGCACCTGCTTGAATAAGCAATGGGACTAGTTGGTTCTGGATATGGAGGCTCATCACCTGCGTTTCGTTACCAATCAGCTGTTGGCCTATGAACACAGCAGGTACACTCTGTCGAAACCCCATCTTTACTAGTTCCCTTTCAATTTGTTGTCCATTTGGAATTTGGTCTAGCTGATAAATCGTTGGATTTGCTCCAAATCCACGCATAAGCAACTCGATGGAGTGGCTCATGCAGCAAGAGCTCGTGCTGAAAATCACCACTGGCTTTTCTTGAATCATTACATTCACTACATCCATTGTCACAAAGGTTTCAAAGAGTTTGAAGTGGTTGTTGAGAGACTATAAAAGGCTTGAGACGGGTGTATGTTGATTTAGATAGTTGAGACTCTAAAAGGCTTTGTTATGAGGAGCTTGAATACCTATGGAGATGGAGGTTATTTATATCGTCCATTTAAATGGTTGAACTCCACAGAGGGATAGAAAATGAGGGTTTGACGAAAAACTGTTAAGAAGATGTGCCATTAGATTCCCCAGTTGCCTAATTTAGGATTTACTTGATTAAGACCTTACTAGCTTCCTTCTTAATAGAAATTTGCATACGAGAAAAATGTGGTTTTCTGCTCTAATAACAGGATTTACATGACCCATTTCTTGATTCAACCTGTCCAATCCACTGTACAAACATAACTTGCTTGCATTACAATATTAGTAATTAAACGTTCAAAAGCTTTTGGCCTCAACCTATAAGCCAGTAAGATTTTTGGATTGGGTGAATCATTTGCATTTTTCCATGCTATGGAGACCTCTTTAACTTATGGGCAAGCTTTGGGTTGGGCAGTCCAGACAGCAATTTCGATTAATCAAGATTTTCTTCTTCTTAGTTTTCCCCTTAAAAAATCGTATAGCTTCAGTTCTATCTAATTTTGAGCATCTGCATGCTGAGGTGGAGGATGGGTTGGGTTTATCCACTTGAATAAGACACTTTCCTCTATAGCAAGATTCGCACAAGTGCAATTTGAAGAAAACCGAAAGCTCGAAAAAAATGATGCTTTTAGAAAGACTTGACTCCGTACTGTTCCCTTAGCAGCAGGGTCACGTAACAAAAACCACGTATTTGTTGATATATACTAGAAGGAGAACAAGGCACCCAGTGGAGCCACCACACTATCGATTTCCACACATTGCAGAACCTGGAATGATATACTACGTGCTAAGACATTCTGATCAGCAATCTGAAAACATAAGGTTAATGCTAACAAATTACTATATCATTGCCCTCATGTTCTTCTGAGTGGGAAATGACCTTTTCTTTTCCAGTCCATGTTCTCATCTGCCATTTGCTTAGTTAAGAAATGCTAATGGGGGGTTTCCCCCAGTATATTGAGCGGTGCAGCTTTGCCTTACTTTGTTTAAATTCTGAATCCTGGTAGATAGGCTACAAAAACAAGAATAATTCCTTCAAATAAGAATAAAGCACTCTGTTCTCACCTATTATCAATTCACTATCTTGTCAACGTTCTAATTCCTCACATGCGCTGCGATTTAAGTTTACACATAGATTGATTCTTATTTTATTTCATGAATAGAACTTCTAAAAAAATGGGGTCAAATAGAATTACTTTCTTTTAGATGTACTGATGTCAGTTAATATTGTGTTTAAAATTTTAAAATTCATGGGCGAACTGATGATGGAAAGATATTCCCCATGTGAAAATACCTTGAGAATTCAAGCATGAACAACTCTATTTGCAAATACAGTTCCATCATCGTCACCTTTTCTTTTGGGCTTACACAACTTTGAATAATTAGTGTGATGTAGCCCCTCTTCCAATTTTCCTAGTGTTAACATCCAAAATATCTATTTATCTAGGTCACACAAGCTATATCTGCTTCCTGGAAAGAAAAATAGACAGAAAGTACGGATGATCATCCGCTTGCATAACTGGCTTGATCATGAGATAAAGCCAAAGGCTTAGATTAGCTTGCAGCGCCACTTGAATATGTTTTGCCTTCAACCCAGCTACTAATATATTCATGTTCATAACTCTTTTCCATCTGTTCAATGTACAAATTAAGGATGATCATGATGCATATAGACGACGTATGCTTCGTAAATGTAATTGCAGAACCTGCAGTCTTCGTTATTAACAAGTCTATGAAAATGGAGAATTATAGATTGAATTATTAGAGCTCTTTACAGTCATCATTAATCATGCTTTGATGCCATGCGTACAGCTCTTTACAGTCATCATTAATCATGCTCTGATGCCATGCTAACAGGCAAATGACAGAGAGGATAAGTACAGCTGCTTAAGAAGCCAACCAAGAATGTCAACTTTGGTGAGTCGAGTAGGATTGTCTTGAAATGGAATATGAGAAAAGGCTGAACGCGAGCGAGGACGGTTCCTGGCATCATAGATCTAGATTAAGATTCTTGAGATATCATATCAGCAAAATATCCAACTTGTCGGAAATTTCATTTCCTCATTTCTCTTTTGTGAGCTAATTACCTCCATTTAATGCTTTAATTTCTAGACGTTATTGACGAAAAATTTAAAACCATACTTTCACGTTTCATTAATGTGTATGTGTGTGTGTATATATATCTAGATAATCATGCAAGTACAACAAAATATATCAAAGTCACATCAAGATTTCTGTATGAAGTCACATCAAATTATATGACAGGATCAGTTTCTTATCGATAGATAAATTATTATGCCCTAAATCTCCAGTTAACAAGACTACTCATGACAGCACGATGAATTTCAATCTCATGATATTCTTCAGTTGGATACAGGCATCTTACTTTTTTTTTTTAATCACATGGTTTACTTTTCCATGTTCCTAGTTGTTTTTACGGTTAGGAGAGTATATATCCAAGAGCTTGTTTCGTTTTCGAAGTTGTCATTTATCTACATTTACCTTTGCGAATGAGCGACGCAGCTGCACATCACTGTATACATATATTTTGATTTTGATCGCTAATCTTGATAAGCAGAACATCCTTTTGCCATCGATGAAGAACAATATTATTGATAGAACACCATAACACAGACAGGGGCAAATCTAGGTCATTGAGAAGTCTTGGTTACTAGGGCTCGCTCTACGCTGCGACTGTATTATTATTTCTTTGATATAGAAATTGATGTTCAACTTTTAAAGAAAGAAAGAAAAATAGGCAATTTGAATAGTATATCCTATTATATTATAAGATGATTTTATTTTAATTAGATAATAATAAAAAAATATTGATCATAATAATATAAAAAAAAATATTTTTTCAAAAGAAAAAAAGTGATGTAATTTAATTCCAAACTAATTAAATATAGAAAAGCAAAATTGAGTAAAAAAACAAAAGAAATTTAATCCAAATTAACCCGAAATAACATGATAAACCTGCAATCCAAGTACTAAGAATCAATTCAACCCGAATTAACTCATTAAACTCGTAGTCCAAATTATAAAATTAAAATAAATCAATAAAAAAACAAAAAAATCACTAAGTGTATTAAAAAAACACTAATATCAAGTGTTAAATAAAAAAATAATTAAAATATAATAATTTACTTTTCCAAGTTGTTTTATGGTTAGGAGAGTATATATCCAAGAGCTTGTTTCCTTTTCCAGGTTGTCATTTATATATATATATGTCTTTGCAAGCTATGCAGCTGCACATCACATTGTACATATATTTTGATTTTGATCGCTAATATTGATGAACATAACATCCTTTTTCTATCACCGAAGAAAAATATTATCGATAAAACACTATAACATAGATAGAGGCCTAGATAATAAAGAAGTCTTAGCTATTACTAGATTGGTAGCTTTCGTCTTACTGCCAGCTAGACTAAATGTTTTTTTAACAAGAAAAAAAATGTTTAGGTTATGAAATTTTTTAAAGAAGTAAGAGAAATATATATATATATATATATATGAAAGTTAAGTTTTTGACTTTATTAAATTTAATAACTTTGATTAATATGATAATATGATAAAACAAAAAGGCAAGAACAAGAGATAAATTAAAAATAAAAAAAGACCTAGGTCAAGCAGGATTAACCCACGAAACCCGTGACATACTAAATGAAATTGGAATAACTTTATAGAAGAATAAAATAAAAAATTAATTAAAAAAAAAAACTTAAAAAAGATCTAAACCAACTTAAACTAATTTTTCAAATTCGTGACTTGAGTTTTGAGGTCAAAAGTATTTTGTAGAATGCAAACCTAAAAAAATCATGAAGTGAAATTTTAGATTAACAAAATCTCAATTAATAAAATATTGAGAGATGAAATCAAAAAAAAAATTCCAATATAAAAGTCTTAAAAACAAAATAAATAGCTATTAAAAAATGCTTACCAAATCATTTTACTCTCATACCAACCCTTGAGATAGATCCTTCATAGGTTATAATTGTCTATATGACTAGGGAAATGGGCTATTGAACTAAGAGAATTTGGATTTCAATACAAAATTCAACCAATCATGAATGGTAAAACCTTAAAAGATTTTATTGATAAAACCTTATCAGATTTTATTGATAAGTGTACTTTCAAGAATTCAAGGAATATATTTGAACTACAATCTTCAATTATATCTTCTATTACATAGGATGCGCCAATTAAACAATCACAACAAGCCCTCGCTTGGAACTTTTATGTTTATAGATCTTTCAATGGAAATGGAGTTGGAATATTTTTTGATTAGTCTAGAAGAGTAAGTCTTTAAATATAAGGTTTGCTTTGAATTCCTAGCTATAAAAAATATGTCAAAATATAAAGTTTTTATAACTAGGTTTGTGTCTAGCAAAAACCCCGAATGCATATCCTTTGAAAGTTTATAACGATGGTGGCGGGTCAATTTCAAAGAATATATGAAAGCAAAGAACCAACAATCCAATTATATCTTTAGAAAGTTTTACTTCACTTGAAAAATGAAAACAAAAAATTTTCAATTAATGGGCAAATGTCTTATCAAAATTGGCCAATTCTAGATCTACAAAATGCCTTTTAACCTAAGTTGGGTTATATCTCAGGTTTTGAGTATCCAAGACTAAGTGTGTGTTTGGTATTATGGTAATTGTTGTGGTTGTGGTTTAAAAAAAATTATTTTATAAAAAATGCTTTTAGTTGAGATTGATTTAAAAAAATATATGTTTGATTAAAATTATGGTTGAAATTGAGATTGAATGAAAAGTAATTTAATATATTTGGTTAATAATGCTTTTAAAATTAAGGTTATACAATAATATATATATATATGTATATATATTGATGGTTTTAAATTTAATTATTATAGATTTAACTATTGTTATTACATCATGAAATAAATAATATTTATATCAAATATTTTTTATTATTCTATTAAACTATCTACAATTTCATTACTTATGAAATTTATTTAATAAAGACTACAGTTTTCTTGGTTTTTTAAGCGTGCAATAACATCAGGTAAAAATATCATCAGGAAAAAAATTAGAATTGTGATTAAATTTTGTAAATACTACATTATCAAGTGATTTTCTTTTAATTTATATAGTGTTATTGTATAATATTAAATACTAATTTTTTAGTAAAATATAATTTAAAAAATTAATTTTTTTTCTGGTCGGAACAATGAGTCACTAATCACGTAAATAATAAACAATAACTGTAAATTAATTCACTTGACATTGTTCACATTAACAGTAGCAAGTGAATTAACATTCAATGTTCCTCTTTTCTCTGTCTCGAAGCCATTTAACTTCACCTTTGATAAATTATCTTTTGATATCTTACCCAACTCCATCTCTTTCCTTATACATAGCAAGAAAAACAAGTTTGCAGGTCCATGGCCGGTACCCAACTCCTTTTTCAGTTTGTGCCTGGCGTTGCCCTGAGGACATTAAAGAATTCAAATAAAGCTAACTAACTTTGCTTGTCCAATTTCAGCAATATATATTAAGGATTAGACTTCTGTCCCTTCCGCTTCTGTCGTTGAAGCTGTTTATGTTACTTCCATGTTACTGTACTTCGGATTCAGGATTTGTGAATCCTTGAACAAGTTTGCTTTCTTTCCTTGGATGAAGTAACTTCGTGACCTTCAAGATTTGGGGTGGTTAGCTAAGTGAAAATGATGAGGAGGATTTGAAGTGTTTTTATTGTGGTGGTAAGCTGGTGTAGACGATCATCCTAATAGAAAAAGCTTAAGAAGTAAACAATGCAAGATATGGCAACAGGCGACAATAAAAAGTGAAAAGCAGTAATTTTCTGCTTCACCAAAATCAGTAGTACAAACATAATTTCTAGTGGAACCCATCTCCAAAACCTCCATTTAAAATATTTATCAAACAATTATTTTTTATGATTAGAGTTCCAACTACAATACCTTTATCAAACAATTATTTTTTATGATTAGAACAAAACAGTTCCAACTACGATACTAAATAATCTCTAAATAATCTTACTTCTAAAATAATGTAAATAATTACATGAATTATTTATATATGAGATAATAATTTTCCTACACTTGTCATATATAAAAGGTCTCTTAAAAAATCTATCACATTTACCATCTCATTAATAATATATAAGGAATATTTATCCCCTTGTTAATTTCACAAAAAATAAGAGATTTTTTAGTCATTTCCTTCTCAAAAAATAAAAAGGTTCAAATATATAAATACCTTTTGAATCATTCGAGTAAAGGTTCAAAATCTTTTTATTTTTTAATATTTTTTATATATTTTAGAGAATTAATCACCCTAAAATACAAGAAATAATATTATTTGTTCTTGGAATTTAAGATTTTTTAAATTTTTTATCATTTTTTTTATAAAATTACTGATTTTATCATATAAGGATTTTTAATTCCCTTAATTAAACTATTTTTACATGGACTTAAGATTTATCATTAATTTGATGCTTCTTGAGCTAATAAGAAAAAAACTATTTATTTAAATATCTTAATTAATTATTACCCACAAACTAAATAACGTGTTACATAAATATTTTGAAGTTTGAGACATCATCCCATTGTCAACTGAATCTCTGCAAATTAAAGGCAATTAATACCAATGTGCTCAACCAATGTTGCAAATGGATAATGTAATTAAGCTACAAGTCTCCTTTATTTAGCATCCACTAGCATTTAGTACAGACCGGAGATAATTAATATTAGGACATGGTTAACAGAAATAAAAAAAAAAAAGAAAAAAGAAAAAAGAAGTTAATCCTGACCGCTGAAAAACGATCAGGTATTCAAGAGGCTCTATAAAATATATATCTAAAGCCTTGTTCGATAATCTATATCCAAGCCCATCAAAATTCGAGCACCAGCATACTGAATTAAAGCAAGTGCAAATTTGGCTTATGACTGCCATTTGATCAAATCCATATAGCTCCCGCCTTCCTGAGCAATGGGGCTAGCTCATTCCTGACTTGTAAGCTCATGACTTGCTTATCACCACCAACAAAATCTTGGCCTATGAAAACGGCTGGTACACTTGGCTGACATCCTAGCTGCTGCACTAATGCCTTTTCAATTTGCTTCCCATTTGGTATTTGATCCAGCTCATAAACTGTAGGATTTGCCCCAAAGCTAGATATAAGTGTCTTAATGGCGTGGCTCATGCAACAAGTGCTCCTGCTAAAGACCACCACTGGCCTGTCAGCAACCAACCTTTTCACCATATCCATGTCTACGAAGAATAGAAGATGGCAAAGTGAATGTTATGACTTGTGAAGTTTGACGTGAGAGATTAGAGGGCTTTGCTTTGAAGAACTTGTCATCCTTGGATGGTCTATTTATACTAGCCATTCGGAGGGTGTAGCTTGCATTCTTTCTTCTTTCCGGCCCCGATAGAATATCAGCTGAAAGGGAATAAAATGCTGAGAATATGAAATCAATTTGATTCCCTATGAACTCTGATGATTACTTGAGGTTGACCTGTAGAATCATACTTTCTATCCTGAACATTTTTTAACATGTAAAATGTGACAAAAATAAGAAAATGATAGATTCCCAGGTTAATTTAACTACTGTATCCTTAACCTATCATATCACTCAATAACCTCTCCTAGAAATCTAATATCTTTATGACCTTTTGGGTTTTGTTTTCGAGAGTTGGGTTACACAAGGATGTTCTAACCTTCCCCGGCCCGATGGTTAACTGACTTAATTGACCAAGTGATTTGGCCCTGACGATGTACCGTCATTTCTCGGTGGTTTCTTGAGTTTCTTGTATTAAAAATCAAGGGCCCAATGCCGTTTGCCATAAACGGCATTTTTTGAACATTAGGTCTAATTAACTGTGGCAACCTCATGTTTCAAACATCTTGTTATGTTGCAACTCGTTAAGCCTGATGTCTCAAACATTCAGTCATCCGTTACAGATTTTGTATACAATATTCAGCATTTCGAAACCCTTTCAAGGCATTTTGGCTTTTGCTATTTCATTCCGTTAAAGGCTTAATTAACCCCAATACCTTTGAATTTCTCCTGCCTTGTTTTCTTTATGAGCATAAGCTGAGGTGGAGAAGCAACTCGGGTTTATCTCAATGTGTTAGCTCCTATCCTTTTCCATGTAAAGATTCGCACAATTTTAATGCAAGACAACCGAAAGCTGACAGAAGGGCAACGGAAAGAAGAAATTTGCATACAGAAGATGCTTGTCAAAAAGCGATTCACCCTTTAATTGAAGATCGCATGGAAAGATCACAAAACTACGTAAGGGCCGTACAAGAAGATGGTTTTTTGAAGATCCACTACATGACCTTATCATCTACTTTGACAAATAACACAGATATTCTCTGCATGAATCACCCTGATTAGTGCTTATAAACAATGGAAGAGGCCTACTAAAAATATTATATTATGATCAGCTAGCATCATCAAGTTAATTTATTTCCTTTTTATTTATTAATAACACTATCTTTTATCATAAAAGAATAAAAGATAAGAAAGTTTCTATATTATATTTAGACGGCATATATGTGTTCGGTCAGCACTTCAAAGTTCAACAATTGCTGAGCTTTGACTTAAAAAAGTACAAGAAAATATGGGGCTAGTAAATTTTTATAGTATTTTGGTTTAATTTATTTTAAATTAAGTATAAATTATTAATTAATCATCTCAATCTAATAAAAATTTCAAGATATGATTTATATTATTCTTTAATATATTTCTTCAAGTGAAAGCTTCTTTAACTTGAAATTTATACAAACTTATATTACTTTATGTTTAATTTTTATTATATAAATGGGAATAACAAGATTTGAACTTGAGACTACTTAATTATTAAAATTCTATATTATATTAAAAAATTATTTTAATCTAATAATTTAAATTATTAAATATAATTTTAAAATATAATTTATATTATTCATATAATTAATATTATGCTGATTACAGCACTATGACTCTTAAAGCATATTTACTAGGGTGATATTCGTGAGAATTCTATCACTTGTCCCCCGCTTTCCTGAAAGGAATTAGAATCACAGTTCTGCCACGTGCCCTTTCATCTTTATCTGCTTAGAATGTTGAAATTCTGTATATTTGATGAGAGGTACCGTGCAAAAACTAGCTATAAGAAATGGCCACGTTCTGCTGTCTAGAAAGCTCCCCTGGGCAGGAATATAATAGCTCAACCGGCTCATGATAAAACGAAGGGCCACTGCTGTAGAGTTTTCTGGTTTATGGTATCTTCACTTTTTCAATACATTTTTTATTAATAAAATTAATTAGAATTTAATTAATACGTGATTTTATGGCGAGTATTCTGGTTTTTATTATGGTCACCTTCACTTTATCAATATATATATTTATACACAAAACCTGTAGGAAGAAAATTAGTGTGGTAAGATTTTACATACACTAATGTAATACATAAAATTAAAAAATAAGAAGAAGATTTGAGAGGAATACAATCTTATAAAGTGTTTTTACCTTGTGTATTTTTCTTTCAACTTAGATGAATTATGCTTTTTATTATTTATTATAATATCACAAATTTAAAATTTTAAAAATTTTATAAGCAATATTAATAATATTTATTGTCTAATAATTCATAACTTATCAAATTCTAAATGTTTTGATTGCAAAATGAATAATTTACTATGTAGTTCAAAATACATATAAGTATTATTATAAAATTATTATCTAGACATAATTCTTATTTAATATTTATTGTTGTACCAAGTACAACAATAAATGAGATAAAAAAATTTATAGGTAGCCCGTAATGCCATAACACATAGGTCATCTCATCAAAAATTATAATCAATTTTCAATGAATTATGAACAATTCTGTCAAATAGTCATGGAAATGAGATCACAAATGGATAGTACATGTGTATTTTGTTTTTGGTAATATAGTCCTAGGAATGACTAACCTTCCCATAACACATAGGTCATCTCATCAAAAAATATAAGCAATTTTTAATGAATTATGAACAATTCTGTCAAATAATCATGAAAATGAGATCACAAATGGATAGTACATGTATATTTTGTTTTTAATAATATAGTCCTAGGAATGACTAACCTCCTTCTCTGTCATTTTTTTAGTTTAATTTTTATTTGTACAAATAAAATTGTAATGAATATTTAAATTTTATATTATTCAAGTTTATTTTTACATATTTTTATTTTATTTTTTAATCATTCAAAACAATTTTATTTTTAAAAATATTTTTTAATTATCATGAACGGAGTTACTAGAGGACTTAATTCGTTGGTATTTTTCAAAGAATTGAAAAACAATTATTACATATATCATTATTACAGAAGGAATTAGTCCATTGATGATTTACTTGTAGAAATATTGATAGACACAATCCATCTATATATTTTAAAAAATTAAAAAAAATTGCTGCATATACCACTATTATAGACAAAATTATATCAATGAAATAATTTTATTAATATAGTTCTAGTGGGTAATTTTTTTACTTATATTTTTTATTTATAAAACCATCGATTTTTTATTTTTTATTTTTACTGGCAAAATTAGTAATAAAAATAAAATTACCAACGGATGCATGGGAAAAAATTGTTAAATGTTGCCGTGGGTTCACTCAATCTCTCACTTGCAGTGCAGCAGATATATGTTAGTTTGTAATTACCTTGCAAGTAGGACGTAGAGGATCGATCATGAGAATATATGATCACGAGTTTCAACATGGAGGAATAAAATTTTGTTTTGGTGGATGGATATATATCTACAGGTACAGCCTAAAGCAGAATGCGAGGTCAGTTCCTCGCATGACAGAGACATTTGTGCATTGCACTGGCTTAAGTTACCTGGGTTAAAGTTCGTACAAAGTACAGCACTTAGGATTCCATCTTTTTCTCATGGACAGAGCTAGCTAGCAGGCTAGATTTTCTCATGGACAGAGCTAGCTAGCAGGCGGCTAGGCAGCCAAGTTGAGAAATTTCAGATAGAAGTGGTTTAAGACAGCTTGATGCATATCTTTTTTCAAGATCTACTGAAAGTTCTTGGAAACTTCATCGATAATATATACTCAACGATCTTTCAAGAGATAAAAGTACAAGGTATATATGGAATAGAATTCACAACACATGACAAGATCACTCATCTTTGCTCAAAATGATTCTCTAAACCTAAAATTTAAACGATCTCTGATCTATATGGCAAGCTGAAAGTTGTTCTTGTCATGAAATTCCCCAGCTAGCTATGGTACGGTGATATAAACGGGCATCTTTGAGCCTTGGATAGCCGTTTTCTGTGGGTTCTCCATATGTATTATTCCATGTTTTGTTGTCTTGATGCATGATGTGAGTGTTCACGGGATTGGCAGGCTGCACATTTTGCACAAGTTGGAGGCCAAATCGTGAAAGCCCTCCCCTGAATTTTTGTTCTAAGAAACAAACACATTTTGTGAGGATATTTCAATATTTCTTCCCATAATTTACTCCTTTTCCCCTTAGAAAGAAAAAAGAAAAATAAAAAAGAGGACCTAGAATGATTTTTAAGAGTTTTTTCATCAATTTCTCGATTAAACCCTAACAGAAGAAATACTTTCAAAAAATCATATTGTTTATGATAATTCAAATGAGTATTTATTTTTTTGCTAAAGTTGAGTGCGGTTTATTCCAATTTGGCCCAAGTTACCCTTGTCGGCACGAGGAATTAAAGCATACGTGGGTGCATTCCATCCTTAGCTAAATTAGTTTTAATTGGCAACTAGATATCGTACCTGCTATATTTATTTAATAACGATCCTCGTTTTTTCATCTATGTTTTTTTTTCTATGAAACATGTCTTTTTTTAATTAACAACATAATTTTTTAAAATAAAAAATTATAGTAACTAAAATAAATAGTCGTAAGAATCATAAAAAAATAAATTGATAAAAAAAATGCATTTGTTTAGTTAAAATTTGATTTTTTTTATTTTTTATTTTGATGAAATATTTTTTTATTAGGAGCATGTTTTTGAAATAAAAATTTATCATAATCTAAAATACAAGTTAAAAAAACTAAAAAATCATGTCTTCGTACATAAACTATGTTCTTGAATAAAAGAATAAAAAAATAATTAATTTATGAATATATATATATATTATTTAAAATTATTGTGCAGTTTTTTTTAAATAATTGTAATATATAATTATTTGTAAGAAAAAAATCCCTGATTTTTTTTAATTCAGATGAGTATTCGTTTTTTTGCTAAAGTTGAGTGAGGTTTATTCCAATTTGGCCCCAGTTACAGTTGTCGGCACGAGGAAATAAAGCATACG